GACTGGTGGTGGTGGGGGTGGAGAGTGAACTGGTGGAGGAGGAGAGTGGACTGGTGGTGGCGGAGAATGGACTGGTGGTGGCGGGGAATGGACTGGTGGAGGAGGAGAATGGACTGGTGGTGGTGGTGAATGGACTGGTGGAGGAGGAGAGTGTACTGGTGGTGGTGGTGAATGGACTGGTGGTGGTGGTGGAGGAGAGTATACCGGAGGTGGTGGTGGAGGAGAATGCATTGGAGGAGGAGGTGAAAATTTAGGTGGTGGTGGGGAATGAACCGGTGCTGGTGGCGGAGACTGTACTGGTGGAGATTGTGGTGAAGGTGTCTCTTCTGTCGATGGTGGTTGAGGACGACGTTTTTTGATAGGGGATGCATCATACGGATCGTTTGCTACCGGTGGGTTTACTGGAGGCGACCCCATTTTTGGTGTCTCTGTCTTTGGTGATTCTTCTTGCTTTGGTGGTTCAGGTTTAGGTGACTCTTCTGGTTTTGGCGTCTTTGGTTCAGGATGATCTGGTTTAGGAGATTCTTCTGATTTTGGTGAGTCTTGCTCAGGGGACTCTTGTTTTGGTGACTCAGGCTTAGGTTTTGGCTGTTCAGGTTTTGGTTGGTCCGGTTTTGGAGAATCTTGTTTTGGTGTCTCTGGCATAGGTTGCTTTGGTTTAGAAGGCTCATGTGATGGTGTCTCAGGCTTCGGACTAGGATGTTGTGGTTTGGGGGACTCTTCTGGTTTTGGCTTAGATGGCTCTTCTAATTTTGGTGGGTTCATTTCTTGTTTCGGCTCTGGTGTTTTTGGTGTTGGCTTTGGTGATGGGTTTGAAACACCGCCACCTCCACCACCACCACCCGCACACTTGTCCTTACTGCAATCCACAGGGCGGCTAACCACCGGCAAACATTCTTTAGCCGACTTTTGGTTTGGTCTGTTCTGTAAGCAATTGCTCGTGTCATCAAACTGTTTCTCTTGACTCGATCCAGGAACACAACTTTGAGCCTCTCCATTGAAAAAATTGTAAGAGAATGTGAAGTTCGACAATTTGGGCAACTTGCAGATGCTGTCTGTGACAACTCCGGTGAGCTTATTGTATGAGAAATCCATTTGTTCCACGTTAGCCAAGCCCGACAAGGTTGATGGTAAACTTCCAACGAATCCATTGCTACTAGCATCAAACACAGTCACATTATTCAACGAACCTATTTCGTTTGGCAAACAACCACTTAAATTGTTCCCAATAAATACAATCTCGTTGAGGTTCTTCATCTGGCCAATGGTTTTTGGGATGCAACCGCTGAATTTATTGTGCGCGAATGTCACGACTGAAGCAGTTGATTTACCGATTGTCTCAGGTATGGTCGACTCAAATCTATTATTGTTTAAGAAGATGGCGTCAAGATCTTTATCAAAGATCTCTGGTGGCAATTTTCCTTCAAAATCATTGTATCTTATGTCAAGGAACTTCAATGATGGCCAAGAAAGAGCAACTGTTGGAAAGGAACCAACGAAACGGTTGTTGCTGATGTCAAATTCGTACATTAACGTTAGCTTGGAAAAACTTTTCGGAATAACCCCACAAAATCTGTTGGAATTAACGTGAAACAAGGCGACATCGGTCAATAACCCTAACTCAGGTGGCAAGTATCCGGCTATATCTGCATGGTTAAGGTCAATACCGGCCACAACCATTACGCTCGGGTCATCAAGTGCTGGTGCACAAAAAACTCCTTTGTAAGTACACACGTTTGGACCAACCCAATTAGCCGCAGTGTTGAATGGATCGGAGTATATTGCCTTTTTCCAAGCTTGGAGGGCAATGTAAGCCCTTTTGAGCCGGTTATTATCAAATTTGAGGTCTACATCGACTTCATACTCCATGTCGTCGGGAAGATCTCCATTTTCTGATAATGCCAAAAGTTGGCGTCTTGTGAGAAACGAAGCTTCCTCATCGGTGAGAGCTGCTGCGGAATAGAAAAACACAGAGATAATGAAGAAGAAGAGGAGAAGGAAGCAGCCTAAAGGCTTCTCCATTGTTCTTCCGGTCATGGTGATGAAAAACCTTGGAAATGGTTCTATGGCTTGCTTAATAGAGGAATGTTGTGGAGAGAAAGCCTATAATGAAACGAAGACAAACAGAAACCATTGGATTATTTTGCTATTTTGGGGAAAACAAAATTTATATAGACTAACGTTTTAAGGATACGAAAATAGCAAACTATTGTAGCTAATATAGAATTAGGGGTTGATATCGTTTTTACAAGTTTGGTTTGTTTTGCCATAATTGAAATCTGGACGACCAATGTTTTTTTACAATCTGGAATAAGTAAAAAGTTTTTCTTACTGTTGTGAACATGTCTCTATTTGATCATTGCGTTTAATTTGAACTTTTGAGAAAGTTAAATGTTATATCAAAATTGTTGATACAATAGGATTTTTTTGTTGTTGTCAGGATGGAACTGTATCAATTTAAAATAAGATAAAGTGAACTAATAATAACATTAAACATCAAAAGACATTTACAACTTACAAATACGAAACTATTGATTTTTTTTTGTTAAGACAAAGTCTTTATAAGTATAGCATAGTACTACAAAAAAAAATTCCAATGATTAAAAACAAAAGAATGATGCCATCTAGTACCCTATATCTGTTTCTATAATCCCTTTTAAGAATGATCAATTTTTTTTTTTTTGATCAAATAATTTTTTGCAACACTAACATAAGAATTATTCTATATGTCAACACCTTATTGTTTAGTTCTACTAAATAAATGTCTTTTTAAAGACAACATTGGCTTCTCACAACCTCATAAAAAGGAAAATGGTGAGCAAAACATTAAAATACTTAACATCAGTTCTTGTTATATTGATCGGCCTATACTACCGTCCTATATATCCGCCATGCCACCGTCACTGCAACATGGCCATGCCCATTTTATGTTGGTTCATGGGGCCGGCCATGGGGCTTGGTGTTGGTATAAATTCATAGCAATCTTGAAATCTCAAAGCCATAACGTAAGGGCGGTCGATTTAGCAGCGTCCGGGATCGATCTATGACAGGCTGAGATTCTACTGTCGTTCACAGAGTATATTGGTCCGTTGATGGGCTTTATGAAGAGTCTAGGTGAGGATGAGAAGGTGATTCTCGTGGTACATAATGTGGGCTTGCTATTTCCAAGCCCATGGAGACATACCATGATAAGATTTATATGGCTATTTTTGTCACTGCCTTAATGCCTGGCCCAACCGTCAATTTTACTTTGCTTTCTCAAGGGGTATGTTAAAAAACTACATACATACTACTTTCACTTGACTTCAAAAATAATAACCCTTGTTTTGATTTTCTCTACATCAGTAATTCTAAATCATTCTACAACAGGACTTGAAGTTTGTATTTGGAGATGGGCCTAATAAACCTCCTACACTTTCTATTGGAGGCTCACTTTTCCTCTCATTAACTATGTATGACCTTAGTCCGAAAGAGGTAAACAAAACTTCCAATTTTCTTATATTTTAATTGGAAAAAATACATAACTCATTGTGACTTGTGCTTAAGCCATGTATAATTTTGTAAGACGCGGAATTAGCGGCGTTATTGGGACGGCCACAACGGTTATTCAGCAACGTAGAGATAGACACAAGTCTTGTGCTCACGCCCGAGAGATTCGGGTCGGTAAATGGGATATTTGTCGTGTCCAAGAAAGACAAGTCATTGGTGAAAGACTTTCAGCTCTGGATGATCAAGAACAACCCTCCCAACCACGTGGAGTATATTCAGAATTCTGATCATATGGTCATGATTTCTAGGCCGTTAGATCTTGGTGCCTGTCTTTTGTCTTTGGCTAAAAAGTTAACTTTAAAAATATTGATATTTTCAACATTTTGTTTTATATATAAAAAAAAAAACCAAACAGTGATGTCAAAAATATATATGTATACCAAACAAAACATGTTTTGTAAGTCCAAAGCTGATTTCCAGTTTTTTATATATGGTATTATCATAATACTATTATGGCTGATCAAAATTCTCTTCATATCACGAGCCACTTTGTATATTTTTACGTTTGTTGATGACCCATTTCTTTGAAGTAGGTTTGACTTTTCAACTTTAGCTAATTAGCTGCTACTACTACTAAATTGCTTCAAAAAAACTAATTAAACTACAAAACCAAGTACTTTGACCACTTTAATCAGCATGAGATTAAGGAGCCTGCATAGAAGAGTAAAACCTCATATATAGACCAGATTTTAATAAATAAAAATAGAAAAATTAAAAGTACTCCGTCTAAATCCAAAAGAAAACACCTTCGGACGAAACTCTCTCGTTTCCCTTTTTTGGGCATAGGACTATCTTTCTTCACTAGTGACTTTCATTAGGTAAAGAAGAGATCTATAGACTGGAAAAAACACTTTCCCATCAGCCGTAATACACTGTTCACTCGAAAAAGATCTAATCTGCTTGGTTCTTAAAAAGTTTTCTGGGTTTTTCTTTGCAATTTCCATTGTTCTTCATTTGAAGTCTCTGTTTTGGAAAGATCTATCCGACAGTTTGGTTTGTTTACTCTTGGAGATCCCGGATCTGATTCTCTTTGATAAGTTCAGGGTTTTTTTCAGTTCAGTCATGTCATCAGCCATGGATAAGGCCCTCTTGGCCATGTCTCTTGAAGAAGTTGAAGAAGACCTTCCGTTTGAAATGCCAGATCTTCCTCAGTTCTTGTCTATGGAGAGAAACGTCATCAGTCTAATTGGTAGAACTCTAAATCCAGCTTGCCAATCCATGAAAAATCTCATTAGAGATATGCCTAGGAAATGGCAAAAACCAGGGAGGATGAGAGGAGTTGCTCTATCAAAAGAGAAATTCCAATTCATCTTCAATTCCGAACACGACCTACAGGAAATTTTGGACAAAGGCTCCCACACTTACAACGAATGGTCCTTAGCGGTTGATAGATGGTATGAAAACCCTCCTGCCAACTACCTGCAGTTCATTCCGTTATGGGTTCAGATATGGAATCTACCCATCAATTACTATACAGTCAATGCGATAACAGCTCTTGGAGAACTAATCGGAGAGGTCAAGGAGGTGGCTTTTGATCCCAACGAACCACAGATACAAGAGTTTGTTCGGGTTAAAGTGCTCTTTGATGTATCGAGACCTCTGAGAAGGTCGAAAATGGTCAATCTTCCTAAAGGAGGAGGTTCCACAATGATTAGGTTCCAGTATGAGAAAGTCCAAAAAAGATGCTATGAATGTCAAAGGCTTACTCATGAGAAGGATTTCTGCCCTATTTTGATAAAGCAAAGACAAGATACAGCTACAGCTAGAAGAGCAGGCATCTCAACTCCAAAGCCAGCCAAGGTTCCCTTCCTTAAAGAAGATGATCCTTTGTTTGGTATCTTAGCAGAAGATCAAGTAGGCATTGATCCCATGACAGGCAGACATCGAATCGCGGCAGATGTGCTTGAAGGTATGAGACAATACCTTCTGGTTAATAATAATGAAGATTGGTATGTGAAAGCAGAGAGAGTGAAGAAATCTGTTCGAGAAGTTGAAAAAGATCCGGTAGCAAAGAAGTCCATTCTTAGGCTGGAATCCCCTTTGATAGTTCATCAGAATGTCAACAAAGACAAAGGTATCGTCTTCGGTTACGATATATCGATTTCTTCTACTGAGGAAGATGAGGAACAGCTGAGGAAGAATTCGGTCAAAGTCAACTCTGAAACAAACATGTTAAGAAAAGAGGCTCCTGAGTATCAAGATGAGCTTCCTCGTAACTTCCTTGCTTTATCTCAACCTTTCCAGGATAGTGCAACGGTTTATAGACCTGGCTTCTTTGAAGCAGGCTCTTCCGGCCCTATCTCAAGAAAGACAAAAGCAAGGAAAAGACCCCCTAAGAGTCTCAGGAAACCAAAACCAAAGCTTGCAAATAATGCAGATGCAGATCAGAGAAACCAGGAGGCAAATAATGCAGATGCAGATCAGAGAAACCAAGAGGAATTGATAGCTACAGCAAAGGAGAAAAGAAAAGCAGTTGATGAGGGAGCTAGCACTGCAAAATCCACAAAGCTAAATCCCTTAGAGGTGATCCCATTGGGGGGATTTCCCAATGCCCAATGAGTATCATCAGCTGGAATTGTCAAGGCTTGGGACGGTCTCAAGACTTGGCTTTTCCTCGTCTCAAGGAGATGCGTAAAAAGTATTTCCCTGAGATGCTCTTTCTGATGGAAACTATGAATAGTAGGGATTTAGTAGTAGATTTGCAAGGTGTTTTAGGTTATGATAGAGTTTATTCTGTGGAGCCAGTAGGCAAGTGTGGAGGTTTAGCTATTCTTTGGAAGAATAGTGTAAAAGTTGACATCAAGTTTGCTGACAAAAACTTGATTGACATGAAAGTACAGTTTGGGGCTTGCGATTTCTGTTTGTCTTGTGTATATGGCGACCCGGATTTTAAGAAAAGGAAGATAGTATGGGAAAAAATCAGTAGGATTGGTGTGGGGAGAAGAGAAAACTGGTGTATGATTGGAGACTTCAACGATATTCTACACAATGGTGAGAAAATTGGGGGCCCTAGAAGATGTGAATCCTTGTTCCAGCCTTTCAAGGATCTCACTGATGCTTGTAGAATGGTTGAGCTTCCGAGTAATGGCAATGGCTTTACTTGGGCAGGGAGAAGATATGACTTGTGGATCCAGAGCCGTTTGGATAGGGCTTTTGGGAATGCAGAATGGTTTAAGGAATTTCCTTCCTCTAATCAGCTCTTTTTGGAAATGCGGGGTTCTGATCATCGGCCAGTACTTCTTAATCTTATGGCCTCTCAAGATTCTTATAGAGGACAATTTAGATTTGATAAGAGACTCCTGAATAAACCAAGAGTGAAAGAGACTATCATTCAAGCTTGGTCTTCTAGGACTCATGACTCAAGGTTTCTGCTGTCTGAAAGATTGAAAGTATGTAGGAAGGCTCTAAGTGGGTGGAAGAAAGATAATAGCTTAAACTCTCACGATAATATCAGAAAAGTTGAAAGGGCTCTTGATATTGAACAGTCTGCTCTGTCTCCAAGGTTCTCCCACATTTTTTCCTTAAAGAAGGATCTAGCTGCCGCGTATTGGGAAGAAGAACAGTATTGGAGACAAAAAAGTAGACAAAAGTGGATGCACTCTGGAGATCGAAATACAAAGTTCTTCCATGGATCAGTGAAGATGAATAGAGGAAGAATCAGAATTGAAATGCTCTTGGATGTAAATGGCAATGAACAATTCTCTGAAGGAGCTAAAGGGGAGGTGGCTTCTGCCTATTTTGATAACTTATTCAGAACCTCAAACCCTCCTAGCTTCAATTCCTGGTTCGATGGTTTTCAAGAAACAGTTTCTGAGCATATGAATGAGAGGCTAATCAGACCCGTCTCTGCAGAGGAAATCAAAGATGCAGCTTTCTCCATTAAGCCTTCTAGTGCACCAGGTCCTGATGGTATGTCTGGCTTATTCTTCCAACACTACTGGGATATTGTGGGTCCTCAGGTGACTCTAGAAGTTCAAGAAGTTTTCTCAACAGGAATTATGCCAGCAGAATGGAATTACACCCATTTATGTCTTATTCCAAAGATTCCTCATCCTTCAGAAATGACAGATCTAAGACCTATAAGCCTTTGCTCAGTGCTATACAAGATTGTTTCGAAAGTGTTAGTGAAGAGGATGCAACCGTTTTTGCCTCAACTAGTCTCGGACACGCAATCCGCTTTTGTTTCAGAGAGATTAATATCAGATAACATATTGGTGGCTCACGAGTTAGTCCATAATCTCCGTTCAAAAGATAAATTTGCAAAGAACTACATGGCTGTGAAGACTGATATGTCTAAAGCCTTTGATAGAGTTGAATGGAGCTATATCAAAGCTCTTCTAATCGCTTTAGGCTTTCATCAGAAATGGGTGGATTGGATAATGATGTGTATCACCACAGTTACATATGCGGTGTTGGTAAATGACAAGCCATTCGGGATGATTACTCCGAAGAGAGGTCTGAGACAAGGTGACCCTCTATCACCCTTCCTCTTTGTCTTATGCACAGAAGGTTTGACTCATCTCCTAAACAAAGCTCAAGCCAATGGTCTAATTAATGGGATGCAGTTCTCTGATGAAGGTCCCATTATTCACCACCTTCTTTTTGCGGATGACAGTCTCTTCATCTGCAAAGCGAACACAGATCAATCCCAAGAATTGCAGAGAATCCTTAATATTTATGGAACAGCCACAGGACAGACAATAAACCTCCAAAAATCATCAATAACCTTCGGTTCAAAGGTGAAAAGGTTGGATAAGGCTGAGATCCAATTGAGGCTGGGGATTTTTAAAGAAGGAGGAGCTAGTACTTATTTAGGGTTGCCAGAATGTTTTAGTGGCTCAAAGGTGGAAATGTTAGATTTCATCAAAGACAGGATGCAATCGAAGCTCTCTAGTTGGTATTTAAAATCTTTATCTCATGGAGGAAAGGAAATCATGCTCAAATCAGTGGCAATGGCAATGCCTGTGTTTGCAATGTCTTGTTTTAAGCTTCCAAAGACAACTTGTGCCAATCTGTCTAGTGCTATGGCTGCGTTTTGGTGGAGCTCTTGTGAACACGCAAGGAAGATACACTGGTTGAGTTGGGATAAACTATGCCTTCCAAAACACCAAGGCGGGTTAGGTTTCCGTGATATTGCTCTGTTTAATCAAGCTCTATTAGCAAAGCAAGCTTGGAGAATCATTCAAAATCCCAACTGTTTGTTTTCAAGACTTATGAAAAGCAGGTATTTTCCTCAAGGAGAGTTTCTGGAAAGCTGTTTGGGACCAAGACCATCATTTGGTTGGAGAAGCATCTTACACGGTAGAGATTTGCTACAACAAGGCTTGATCAAAAGAGTTGGTAATGGGAAGAGCATCAATGTTTGGACTGACCCGTGGCTTGATGATTATAATGGGATGAGAGCTCCTTGGATAATGAATCCTCTTATTAACATTGATTTGAAGGTCTGTGACTTAATTGATTTCAGAAGGAAAGATTGGGACATAGTCAAGTTGGGACAACTTTTCTATCCGGATGATGTGATCAGAATAAGAGCAAACAGACCGGTGGTTTCTATGGAGGACTTTTTGATCTGGAAACATAACAAAAGTGGGAACTTCACAGTGAAATCTGCATATTGGCTGGCCTCTCATCTGTACAATTCGGATCTCATTGCCCAAGCCACTGTACAACCATCTCTAAATGAGCTAAAAACTCATGTTTGGAAACTTCACACAGAACCTAAAATAAAAGTTTTCCTCTGGAAAGTATTGAGTGGAGCAGTTCCAGTGTTGGATCTTTTGTCGCATAGAGGACTGAAACTTGATGGTAGATGCCAAACTTGTGGTATTAGAGGTGAATCTATACATCATGTTCTGTTTGAGTGTGCACCTGCTAGACAAATCTGGGCTATGTCAGATTATCCTGCTCCTCGGTCCGGTTTTGAAGAAGGTTCAGTTTTCTCTAACATTTATCACTTTTTGATTAATAAAGATAATCTAGGATGGCCAAAAGAATTGAGAAAGAGTTTCCCTTGGATTATCTGGAGAATCTGGAAAAATAGAAATCTTCTTTTCTTTGATGGAAGAGGTTTCTCCCCCATGGAAACCATTAAGAAAGTAAAAGATGATGTCCAGGATTGGTTTGCAGCTCAAGAGGTGGAATCAGAAAGATTGGCAACTTTACCCGAATCCACAATTTCTTCTCCACCGGCTAGATGGAAGCCACCACTGCTGGATTGGGTTAAGTGTAACATAGGCTTGTCTTGGTCACATCGAAATCGCTTAGCAGGAGCTTCTTGGGTTTTAAGAGATGCAACAGGCCAAGTTTTGCTTCATAGTCGTCGAGCCTTCACTAACATCAGAAATAGACTCGAGGCTCAATTCTTGTGCTTGATTTGGGCTGTGGAAAGCATGATTAGTCACAGAGTAAATACGGTTATTTTTGCTGTGGAAGACGGGTTTCTTGTCGGTGTTGTTAATAGGCCTCAAGCTTGGCCTTCTTATAGGTTCCAATCGTCTGAACTATTGTCGAGGTTGGAACTATTAATGGAATGGAGATTGCAGGTGGAACTTCCTTCATCAAATAGAGGAGCTTCTCTCATTGCTCAAAGTGTTACTCAAGATTGCAGACTGCAGTCTTATGTAGCCTCTAGCTTCCCTTCCTGGTTAGTTGGAGTCTTTACTGATGAGAGGGTTCCTTCCTCTAATTGATGTCGTTCTGGCTTTTCTCAAGCCTGGTGATTAGAAGTGACGATGCTATGAGTTTATTCCTTTTTGTTATCACTCATATCCATCCTTGTGTCTCTGCGTTATCTTTTTAGGATAGTCCCTAACTGTTTTTGTAAGGCTTTTCTCAAACTTGGTGCTATGACTGCTATAGACCAGATTTTAATAAATAAAAATAGAAAAATTAAAAGTACTCCGTCTAAATCCAAAAGAAAACTAAATGAAACCAAAGTCGTTACGTTGATGTGGTTTTTATTTATTTTATGTAGTAATTGAAAGCGAATCTACTTTCCCAATTTAGATTTGATGAACTTTAAGAACATGGTTACATATTTCAACGGAGACCTGTAAAAGAACATCAAATCCAGTTTTTTCTTTTAGAAACCAATAAACATAATTCACATCTCACGATTCTCATTTCTCAGTATTAGTTTCTCCATAAAAAGTGATAGCCTTCTTTGATCTTTCTATATTGTTAAACTTTTAAAACAAATTCTCAGTATCATCATCCCTTGCATTAGGTGGAGATGTTTCTTTGTAGAAAAAGTTGCATTAGATGGAGATTATTAAGGAAATTAAAATTATCTGTTAATGAAAATTATGTAGAAAACGTGTGACGATTTGATTTATCTGTAAACTCTTCATGATCTTTTTTGGTTATACTTTATACACAAATCAACAATATCCAAAACGCCACAAGGCACGAGAACTACTAACTTTTAACGAGGCCAAAATTAAAATCAAAAAAAAAAAAAAGAACTTGAAAATTAAAAGCTCATCACATGAATCCAACAAGAGGAATGGGAACAGCGGCGTAATTATTCCGGCGACCACCTTGAACTACTGGAAGCGACGGTTGAGGCTTACGGAAAGCTTCTTCTACTGTTTCAGCCACGGTGGTGACGAAAACAACAGCAATTTTCACCAATTCGATGCAAATCTCTAGCTTTTGAGACACCATTCTTGTTTTTCTTGATTTGTCGAGAAGAGTAGCTAGTTTTTATCTTTCCTTCTTGTTTCTTACTCTGCGCTTTTGAAAGGTCTTTTTTTTTTTTCTTTCTAATCTGTGTTGCGCCGCGTCTTGAGAACTCTTTTGTCTTTGTGAGTCTTAACTTGCAAAAGCCAGAGTTATATATTTATACAGACAGACATCAATCCATGTTATATAATTTTATATATGTATGGATTATGGGATCAGTTTTAATTATTGGTTGGTTGATAAGCCATGTGGCATTTCATTCGCTACCATTTATTTCTCGGAAGATGCTTTGTTTTTGTTGTGTCCTTTGGTTTTTACAAAGAGCCAATTTAATTCTTTGGGGTCGTTTCTTTACGTACATATGTGTAAGTATACGTCTAACGTCGCATGTATGTAGGTGTGTATGCTAATTGTGTTTGTCATAGATCCGAGCATGCAAACAAAGGTTGTACATACGATTATATTATCTCAATTGGATAAAATTTGCAAAATAGTACTAATTAGTTTTTTTTTTTATATTTTTTTTTGTTTTTTTTTAGAAACTAATTAGTTTTTGTCCAAAAAAGAAAAAAAAAACTAACTAGTTTTATAAAACCAGGATATGTCGACCAAAGAAGACTAAAACCAGGATATTTATACAAGTACTCTAGCCAACGATGTAGTAGCTAAGTTAAAAATCTAATAATCAAAACTTTATATATCTTTGATCATATAAAGAGTATTCGTGTCTATAATCCACGTGGAAACGTATGTTAATTGTCATATAAAAATGTTTTAGGAAATGACGTAATCGTATACACGGTTCTGTCGAATGGATGAGGATGAAAAATTTGAACCAATAGGACACGAAGACAATATGACAATTTGATGCTGTTTTTTAGTGAACTTTTAATGAATTACTTGTTAATTCATATGTTCCCCTTGGCAGTGTAAGGCTGACTAAGATTTTCATTAATATATACATACATATACATCAAATGATGTAAGTCGATACTTTACAATGCGGAATCAAATGATTCTCAATATATATAAATTCAAAAAGTATTGATCATAAAGTGCATGAGATAATGATTATTAATTACTCTTTATTCTCGAATGATTGTTAGTTCTTTATTGTATAAAGTCGAATCTAGATGTCATCAAATTTGCGATATTTGCAAATATGGCTTGTTGCTGAAACAATATTAATGTCCAAATTCATTTGTTCAAATCCAATCCAAACTTCAACTCCATAAGACTGATCCAAAGATGAAGAAAACTCTATCAGATAAATTATTTTAAAATAATTAAAAGAATTAGTTTCACTCTTATTCGATTTCTTTTATGGATTTAGCTAGAACAGCCTTAACTAAACATTAAACAATGAACAGAAATAGGTGACCCGAAATAATAAGAAAATTTGGGTTTTAATATAAAAAAGTCAAGGATTGGGGTCAATATCTAATTCTATTTGATTCTTGGGACTGGAATGAAATTCAGTAAGAGTGATCGATGGGACGTAGCACCAAACCTCCACAAAAAAAATGCATAATTGAGAAATCAAGTAGTGCACTACTGCATATTGTTGTTGCGACTTGCAAGTAGCCAAGTAGCATCTCAACCATTATTTCTTTAAGGTTAAGGCTTAATTAAACAAAACACAAAAATTAGCTAACCATATGTTGTAAGAAGCCATGGAAATTATGCCACGTGCCTTCGTGGTGGTTGTTGAAGCCTCTCATACTTTTACTTTTTTAAGATCAAAGTTTCTATGTTCTGTCAAGGTAGTGGACCTTAGTGGTGATTTTTAAAAAAAATTTGAGTACAAAAGACAAAATTCTATAGTTATCAATAGACACAACTTTATAAAAAGTAACCAATAAACAGTATGCAGAATCTCATTACGAGATAGGAGATTCTAAAACATCTATATGGCTTTATCAAAAGAAATTGAGAAATACCCTTGAAGCATTTTTTTTTATGTTTTATGTTTATTTTTTTTAAGTAATTAGATTAGTGGGGTAGATAAGATCGTCAAATTAGCCGTGTGTAACAACAATATGCATGTTTGTTTAGTAACTTGGATAGGAGATTATGCGGAATGCGTGTTATGTTGCATGTAAAACATGACTTCATATTCCAATAACTTAATATAAACCAAAACCAAAACCAAAAAAAGAAGAAGACAAAAACTCTTAAAGTCTAACAATGGTGTATCTAATATATATATATATATATACATATATACTCTTCATCATTGTTGTGATCATAATCTACACGATGTATGATCGATGACAAGTCAATGAAGCTGAGGATGAGCAGGATTTGGTAGTGGTAAATAGCGTCTGTTTATAACTTCTATGGGCTGGGCTTGTAAAAAGTATATATATGATGGGCCTGTTCACTAGAGTCTAGAGGAATGAATAGACACACTTTTTGTTTATAATATGTTTTTTTTTTTTCCATTTTATCTCGAACTTTGGTATAATAAATATGTTTAGTTAATTAACCATCCATTTGAATTTAGAATGAGAGGGCCCTTTCCTTACGGCGTCTTTCCTCGTTATTTCAATTTTCATCGTTTTAGCCGTTTGAAATTGTTTCGGAAAAAAGGAAAATCAAAAAGGGTTGTGTAATTGACGGAACTAACCTCTTCAAGACTGCTTAATTACGTGAAAAAGCCCTGTCGGAAATTCAAATTCAAACAGCGCCTAAAAGTACAAACAATCTCAGCCGTCCGTTTCCATCGTCCCTCTTTCTTTTACATTCCTTTCTCCGTCCGGCTTTACTGCTCAAATCATGCGAATCTAAAGAGACATAGAAAAAGAGAGAGAGTGAGTTAGCGAGTGAGCGAGAGAGAGAGAGAGAACTCTTCAGGAGCTCGCGAAATTTTGGATTTTGTAGCTCTCGATTCATTTACACAGGTGAGCAAAAATATTTCCATTTCTAATTTTTAGTGTGAAACCCCAACGAGCTTTTTAGCTTTAGCAGTGGATTCAAAGTTTCAAAATTTCACATTTCCTCAGTGTCGATTTCGTGAATTTTGAACTGGGGTTTTGAATCTACTATTGATTCAGATTATAGGGTATTATAATGTCAAGGGAGGTCAAGCTTTCCCGTAGAGATTCCGGCAAGCACAATGAGGAGGAAATCGAGAATGTTCCTGAAAATCTCCGAGCTTCGCTTTTGTCCAACGATTCATTGACGAATCCTAAAAACGATTGGGGGAGTAAGATCGATCGAACTCCGTCTAAGCCTAGAGCTAAGATCCCAGATCCACCATTGCCTTTACGGACGCCTGATAAGTATCGATCAGCAGCCGCGTTTTCTAAAAATCGGTTTGGTTGGGGAGACAAGTGTGATTCCGTCGCAAGCACAAATGTGGGTTTGTTGACCACGACTCCTAAGACTGGTAGAATCGCCGGGAGAGCTAATTCGGAGACCAATTCGACGCACAATACCCCCAGTAAGAGCGTATCTAAGCCTCCGGGGTCTTGTTACAGAGGGAAGCTCGATGGCACAGGAGCTGTTAGAGTTGGTGGTTATGCCTCCTTGTATAAAGGGTTGTCTAGTTCTTCTGGGCAAGTTTCAGCAGTTGTTAACACGGTTCAAGTCCCTCACTTTAGCCTTAAGGAGGATCCATCTTTCTGGATGGATCACAACGTACAGGTAGCAATTCGCTCCCTTGGGTTTACTTTCTTTTTCATTTGGGATTTTTGGAATTGCATTACTCTTCTCAGTGTTCAATGTCCACCATACATCTAGGTTCATTAGCTACACCAAGTTGACTTCTTTTAATTGGAAAGTGTATATTTTTTTCGACTTTTAGAAGTTTTTGGTTAGGGGTGGCAGTCATTGATGGTTACTGAATGAATTGCAGATTCTTATACGTGTTCGACCGCTAAATAGCATGGAGAAGAGTACAAATGGGTACAGTAGGTGCTTAAAGCAAGAAAGTTCCCAATGCGTATCATGGATTGGACCACCAGAAACACGATTTCAGTTTGATCATGTGGCATGTGAGACAATTGACCAGGTAAGACTCAGAACGAGGGACATAAATTTTTGTTTCCTTTTATTCGTATATATGAAGTTTTTTTGCATCCTAAATTTGTAGGAAACCCTTTTTCGGGTAGCCGGTCTGCCCATGGTGGAAAATTGCTTGTCTGGCTACAACAGTTGTATATTTGCATATGGCCAGGTATATTTTGTCATTCTAGAGATGGATCATGAGAGTGTTACTACCTCTGGGTCAGGCTCAAGCTTTAAATACTAGCAAGTTTATTTCTATTAAGCCTTATGTTTTCTGGTGACCATGGTAAAGCTGTTTTTGTGATAGAGTTGTAAAGATGTCCAATTTTAGGTAATTTGGTTACCCTATCCTTGCTTAGGATACATATGCTGATATCCTGTCCTCTTTAAGAAATCATTTGAAATACTTTACAAGGTTACAATGAGATTAGATAATTAAGTTTTCAGAGTATGACTGAGTCAGGATAGTTTCTTTCGTTGGTGTTAATTTTTTTTTCCCAATTCCTAATTTGGGATAATTTGTTGGGATTGTGCAGACAGGGAGTGGGAAAACATATACAATGCTTGGGGAAGTCGGTGATTTAGAAGTTAAACCAAGTCCCAACAGAGGAATGATGCCTCGGATATTTGAGTTTTTATTTGCAAGAATACAAGCTGTAAATCCTCTAATGATATAGCTTGTTTTCCATTTCTATTACAGATATATATATATTAACTTTTCTAATTGCATATGGCCTCGCTGTTTTTGATGCAGGAGGAAGAGAGCAGAAGAGACGAGAGACTTAAATACAACTGCAAATGCTCTTTCCTTGAAATTTACAATGAACAAATTACAGACCTTCTTGAACCGTCTTCAACAAATTTGCAGGTACCTTTTATATTTTGTTGGTGAAACTGCAATAGATGCGCAGGCTTATTTCTCTAATGTGTTTTCACATTTTAGCTTCGAGAGGACATTAAGAGCGGAGTCTATGTGGAAAATCTGACTGAATGTGAAGTACAAAGTGTTCAAGACATCTTAGGGCTTATCACACAGGTTAGTTATACTGCCGTCTCCCAAACAATTTAATTTTATGTTTAATATTCCTGAGATCTTATTTGTTGTACAATAGGGTTCTTTGAATCGAAAAGTCGGAG